TTAAAAACCCCAAATTTTTTAAATGTTTTATATATTTTTTATTTATCCTCCAATTTTTATAAAAAATATATATCAAAATTCATACGTAGTATTTTTTATGATATTTCATATGAACCAATATTATATATAATTATATATAAAGTTTAAAGAATAAAAATATGAAGTTTCATTGGTTGGATATTTTTATGTTTATTTTTGGGAAATTTTCACGCATAGGCATAAACACTAAAATAATATCATGTTTCTCACTTTCAACTTTTCTTTTCAGAAATAGATCACCGAAATCTTTCCTTTCACAAATAGATGTGCACTGCTGTCTCGGCTCTCGACTAATAAGAGCATCTCCAATGCTAAAACGTTAACGGTGCATACGTGGCATGGAAAATAACTAATTAAAAAACAATAAATACAATATCTCTCTCCTTATTTGAAGGATCTTACATCATTTTGGTAAATTTTTCTTCACAATGTCAAACACAATGTTTAGATGTAGACATTGTGATTGACATTGCAGACAAAAACTTACCATAAACACATAAGACCGTGGAAAGAAGGAGAGAGATATTGTATTTATTATTTTTTAATTGGTTATTTCTCATGCCACGTATGCACCGTTAACGTTTTAGCATTGGAGATGCTCTAAGAAGCGAAATGCACATCCACTATCCATGCGGACCATGCCACATACAGGAAGCATTACGGAGTAGAAGTAAGGTTACAACTTACGAAGTATTATTCAAAAAGTCAAACCTTAATTTTAGGATTTACTCAACTTTTTCAAAAAGAAAAACCAATACAGAGTATGTAAAATTAATTTAAAAGATAAAAAAAGGTGGAATAATTAGACAAATAATAAAATTCGAAATTACTCAAATCATATTCTTTAAAATAAAAAATCAAAGTTAAAAACAAAAAATCAAAAGATGATACTGCTTAGAATACAATAATATGATAACAAATAAAATTGAACTTTAGACTAAATAAAAAACTATAAGTAAACAATAAAAAATGGGGGAAAGTAGAAAGATGTAGATAAAATCAAAAAATAAAATAAAATAAATTTAAATTGTAAACAAATCAGGAAAAAAATAGAAACATCAAAAATAAAAACTTGAAAACAAACATATAAAAAGTTTAAAATAGTTTAAGATGTGGGAAATTTTGAAAAATATAAAATTGGCAAAAAAAATTGAAAACCTTATAATTGTAAACAAAATATTTAAATTACAAAAATTGTATGGAAAATGTAAAATAATATGAAAAGTAATTTGAGCTTTTTTGAAATAGTAATTATTTAAAAAAATGGAAAATATGAATATAATTAATAAAAATATCAAATAAATATATACAATTTGAAAACATTCTAGAAGTTTAAATTAAAACGTATATAATAAAAATATAAATACGCAACATAAAATTATAAAAAATCAGAATTGAAGTTAATGTAACCTAAGTGTGTAAAATTATAATATACTCAGAGAATAAAAATATGAAAAAAAACATAATGAACACTAAAAAAATAGAAAATAGGAAATGAATTTTTTCAATACAATTTTTCTTAATGTACATAATTTTCAGGTAATATTATTATTATTATAATTTTGTTGTTGGCTTTTGTTTCCTTGTGTTTCTTTTTGTTGATAATACTTAATTTTTTGTTTTTTATTGTGTCTTTATGTTTCTATTTGTTGTTTATTTTCATAAATTCAAATATTAGGTGTTTGTGTGTGTATACTGTATATGGATGGTTTTTATTTCAGAGAAGTAGCAAAGACAAATAGAATGTTAAATAAACAACAAGAATAATACTCATAATAACAACTTGATACAATAATATGCAACACATTGCAACAAAAAGCAATACATTGCAACAAAAAGCAACACGATGCAACAACAAAAAACACATACGCTGCAACAAAAAGAAACAAAAAATAATATACAAAAAATATCATAACAAGTATATATTTCAATCTGGTAGCTCAATTTATCACTACGTATTATATTATTTGGCTTTGATGCTTCCCAATCTTCTTTCTTTTATGCATCTAACACACACTTCATCACTTTTTCTCTTTGTCTTCATTTCCTCATTGATTTTCGTAGCCTTGTTATCATCTTCGTGTACTATTATGTGCCTGTGACCAATATGAAACAAATTTAGAATCAATTTTATGAGCAAACGATGCACCTATAGAGTTGATGCATCAAACTATATCCACAACGTAGCTATGAGACAAGAGAATAAGCAAAAACCTAAGTCATGAATAGATAACTATTAATAGGGGGATTTAGAAAGACTGGTCTAGAATGACTAAAACCCAAGTCCTCTAAATTGGGCATGATCTAGGACTACATCCTAATTCCTGCCAGATTTCTAAATTGAATATTTGAATTGATCATTCCACTAAAACATACAAGTCGAGATGTAGTAATGGACTTATAGTCATTGAGCGGTAATTATAATGATCTAGACTTCTCCTTACTGTTACATAGAGACTCCTTTGGTATCTTTTTTTTTTTGCACAAAGAAGTTTTATTTCATTTTGACAGCAATCTCCATGACCTGATATAAACCACACCAAAGCGGATAAAAAATGTGCAGCACGTGTATGAGGGGACAAGAAAGTGGACTCTTCTGGGAGTATACAAAATTACAAATGAAGTGGATATAAATGAGGAAGTTCTCTGACGAAAGCCATAACCAATTCCAACTCCACACCCCGGTTTGCCATGTCTAAAAGTAGGATTCTCAGGAACATGACTCCTTTCGTATCTCTAATACCATTAGTGTATATACTCGTATAAAAGATCACTTCAGTGCTTGATTTTTACTAATAATAAAATCTTTAATAATCTTCAACTCTCGAAATAAATCTAAATAAACTTTCCCGAGTTCCTCGATGACTCATGCATTCTAACAGAGTCTCAGACACTCTCTCGGGCACTATTATTTATGTGATTAGCCACACTTCAATTTCTATTATTTCAATAGACACACCATCTTAAACAAATCCTCATACATATATCATTAAAACCTATATATCCAACATCTCTTGACCAAAATAAAGGAGGCTGAGTAGAATAGAATATATAAGAGTTGAAAACAGTTTTACCATGATCCATCTATTATGAACGCCATGTAGAACTTCCACTGAGTGACAGGCCACTCTTTAACCTGGTATCAATAACTTGTGCAAATGAAAACATGTTAGAAGTAAACTTGATAGAGGTCAACTAAAATCTAAAGTAGATCTCAGTTTTTGTTACTCAGCAATCTTCTTTATCATAATTAAGACATGTAAAAGCTAAGACTTGACATGTAAAAATGTAAAATAGACTTGACATGTAAAAATGTAAAATAGACTTGACATGTAAAATAGATCATAATTGCAATTCTGTTAATAGGATAAACACCTCTATTTCATTATCGTAGCATGTCACTGATCACTTCAGTGCTTGGTTTCCACATTCATTATCATACACGAAGTATATATTGAATTGTATACATATGTAGAAGCTCTCAAGTTTCAGAGGAATTGAAAAATTACAGATTTATATATTAATTGTTCTTGCTGCAGCAATTGAATTATAGTCATCATAAAAATTATCTAAATCAATATAAACTAAGCAATTCTGGACTTTCAGATTAAGAAATTTCAGAATTTAGGATATGAAAGCAGATTATGAAAGCAATACAAATTCGCAAATCCATGCATTTGAATTACAAGTTTACAAATCAGCATATTAATGTGAGATTAGCTTTAGAAAATTAGGTTAGAAACTTAAAAGATCATAAATTAAATCGGAGGTAAGTGGCGGTCAAATTTCGAAATTCGTTGCTTGAATTCGTCGGTCAAATTAATATGAAATTACCTGTTGCTTGAATTCGTTGGTCAGCAAGGAGCCTAGCAGTGCCGCGAGCCAAAAGAAGCGACCAGCAAGTTGGGGTCCGAGGTTGCGACGACCGGCGACTGTGGCGAGTTAACGGCGATTCTTCACATAGCCGCAAGGCGGAAGTCGAAGGATTTGATACAGGCTAAAGCTGGAGGATTGTGAAAAGAGAGAAGAACGAAGATTGAAGGAATGAAAATCATAATCGATGAGAAGGGAGAGGTGAATTGGAAGAGGAAATTTTTATGTTGAATCTGAATAGGAAATCTCCCCTGCTTCGATCTTCCATGATCGAGAGTACTCTACTTAGCTAATTTAAGGAACAGGTTGGGGAAAGTGTCCAAAAGTGAAATAAGAAAATCAAAATTGAAAACTTAAAAGTTTAAAAATGAAAAGAAAAGATAACTGGGCTATAAATGACACAGGGCATATGAAAATGGACCGTTTGGGTAATTTCCACTTTATTTTTTAAGTAGATCCAAGTGCTAAAATTAAGGTCTCATGACAAAAAATAACTTTTTTTCTATCTTTCGGTTAACTTTTTTTTTTTAAAAATGGTATATATATTAACAATAAAAAAAGTAAACTCCGATTTTATTTATGTTTACATCGAAATGTACGTCTTTTAATATCATACTTATTCACCAAAAAGATGATTAACAAAAATTAATTTATAATAATAAAAAGAAGGGTTTATTAAAGAAAAACATTGATGGTTGAATATATTGACGGTGCAGGATTGCAATAAAAATTGAATTGACAGACTGAATACATATAAAATAGTGGAAAATTTAGTTTATTGACGGGACAAAATTGTGGTTTGCAATGGATACTTCCATTATTGGCAGAAGCTTTGTGATTTGACCTCATAAAAATTTGAAGGTAAAGGGGTGAAAATTTCCCCAAAGAAAATGGGTGAAAATTGTTGTGACTTAGTATGTTTTTTAGTATGTTTTTATTTGGACTGCAAGTTTGATCTGGTTTTTTTGTAATTTTATAAATATTCATGTCCAATCTGATTTGATCTTGTCTGGTCTGGGACGGATTAAAAAACATCCTTACACTTGTTGGTAGTTTGTTCTGAGCCAAATAACCGCTGTTCTTCGAAGGTAACTGCTGGATTGATTCCTTCATCATAAATCCTTTATCCGCTTTAGTCTTTTCTCTGATCAAAACATTACGCGTTCAATATACTGACGATCAATCAAACTGAGCAAACCTTACTGTACGTGTAATTTTTTAGCATATTTATTAATCGGGTTTCTGGACTGATCTTTCTTCAACTCTGCATATATCTCGAGTTCTTTGCGCTGTTTTACAGAGGAAGAGAGGGGGAGCGAGATGGGGAGACTGTTTGTTGTGAATCTTGAGGGGAAAATCTATAGCTGTAAGCATTGTGGAACACATCTTGCTCTTTCTGAGCATGTAGAGTCCAAGGTTAATTGGTCTCTTCCATAATCTATCAAAAATACAAACATTTTTCTCTAAACCTGACACTTTCTATGCATTTTCACTTTGGTTTTGTTTAATTCTGGGCGAGTGGTAGCTGATTGTTTATTTATCAGGGATTGACTTTAAATTTCATGCAACTTAATATGTTAGGATTACTTCAACTATGATGATCAGTGGTTTTATGAATCACTTAACTGGAAGGAGAACAAAATAGCATCCATTTTAGGCAGTTAGTTTTCTTTTATGCTATGCGTGGACTTCGGATAAGGTCTTGTGTGGATTGGCTTCATTTACCCTATTCTTGAGATGTGAGCGAATTCATGTCCTCAAACTTGATTTAATGACCATAGTCAGGTCCGATCCTAGGGGGCGGGCAACAGGGCTACCCTCCATAAAATCCAGGAGTATATCCTGATTTTGCTCATAGCAAATCCGGGGAGAGTATTCTGCGTTTTGGGTTGATGTTTTTTTTGCAGAGAAGAATAGGGATGAACATTAAAGAAGATCTTCTCAAGATGTTCTTGAATCTGATTGGTGGTTCTGTGCTTATAAGTTATAACCCCATTTTCATATATATAAGTAGGAGTGATGTAATATTTATGGGATGGAATTTCTTCTCTTTTTTAAACATAATAACAAACTATAGTTTCTCTCCACTTACCTTTTTAATCATTTTAATTTAGGGCCCATCTGGTAAGGGTTTTTTTGGGCTGAAATGGCTGAACCTTACTGACTGAGATGAAATTACTACTAGGAAAAACATCTTGTAACATCCATTTCAGCTAAGGGAGTCTATGCTAAACTACTCATTCTTGTATTCTTCAACAAACAGAATAAGCCGGATAAGGCTACCAAACTGAGGCTTAGGGCCTGTTCGGTAAGGATTATTTGGCTGAAATGGCTTATTCTGCCGATATGAAAAAGCATTTGGTAAAATGGCTTTCTGCCAAATAATTAAATAACTCCGGTGATACTTATTCTGCTTATGTGATTATTCTCCCTATAAATAGGATAAGACACCAAACGTAGCCTTAATCTTATACGGAGTAGTTATAATGACTCTCAGTCTACATAATGCAAAACACCCTCAACTTTGTTTGATATCTTGGTTTATGTGCTGACAAGTTGTGTGTTATACTTTTATTTTCTTAGTCTTTTTTGTTGTTGTTGCTTTATGTTATTTCATTCAGGCCTTCCAGTGCAAACATGGAAAGGCTTACCTCTTCAGACAGGTGTAAGTATCTCTTGATACTGCACTCAATCTGCCAATTATTTACTTCTTGATTGCAGATTTGCACCCATAGTGGATGAATGCTCTAATGTGATATTTCTGCAATTTTAAAAATGATGCTGATATAGCAAAAAGGCTTCTAGAATAAGACACGTGTAAACAGATTAGTTAATACAGTTAGCTAGCTGTTAGATTCTGTTAGAAGGGAAGCGGATATAAAATGTAACCGAACACTTCATTTTGAATATATCTTCCAGTTTCATTGTTCTTACCAGTCGGCCAATCACTCAAGAATACCAGAAATGGACTTGAGGAAGAGAATTGTTGTAGTTATACATTAGTTCTCGATTCATATTGATTGTTCTATTCAATTGATATTCAATCATCTTTAGAATACAGAATTTGCTGTATTAAATTGGTATCAGAGCTTCGAACCTCGGAAAGCGCTACCGCCATGACTCAAACTCGAGCTCAATCAGCAAACAAGGAGATGACAGCTCAAGAAGTAGAAGAATCTATCAATTCCAGATTCATAGCTCTGGAAGAACACCTAAGCAAGAAGATCGATGCAAAAATGGAGGATCAGTTCATTCATATGAGTCTGAAGTTTGATGATTCATTAACCGCAAAATTTGCTGAATTTTCGAAGGAAATCTTTGAAGTTATAGAAACACTGAACAACCGAAGTGCAAATGCATTACAAATAAATCGCACACAGCCAAATCAAGGATATTCAGGATTGACAAGACTATCTAGACTGGATTTTCCAAGGTTTGGAGGAACGAACGTTAAAGATTGGCTGTTCAAATGTGAACAATTCTTCACTATTGATCGTACTCCAGAAGATATCAAAGTTAATTTGGCTTCCATACATTTAAAAGATAAGGCAGCTTGCTGGCATCAGTCTATAATGACTTCAGAGCAAAATAGAGGTATTATCCTTGACTGGTCTAGATACAAAATTTTAGTATCTGAAAGATTTGGTGAAGTTGTAGATGATCCAATTGCTGATCTTATGAAATTAAGAGAGACTGAGGGAATTGTTGCTTATAACGAGAAATTTGAATCAATAAGAAACAGGGTGAGGCTATCTGAAGAATACTTGGTGAGTGCTTATTTAGCTGGCTTGAGAAATGATACACAGATGCATATAAGAATGTTTCAACCTCAGTCTATTCGTCAATGTTTCACTTTGGGTAAATTGTATGAATTGGCTCATCCAAGAACAAATTCTATCAATGGGAGTTCAAGCTTTAATAGAGGGAACTCTAACAGAAATGATGAAGTAGGGAGGAAAACTTCATTTAATACTCTACCTAAAGCAGGAGGTGTACATAGAGAAGTGAATATGCAGAATTCAGGAGAATTGGTAAAAGGGAATAGAAAATTCCTTACTGCAGCAGAAATGAGTGAAAGAAGAGCCAAAGGTTTATGCTATCAGTGTGATGAACCTTATACACCTGACCATTATCTCAAGCATAAAAAGAATCAGTTGTTTCTTGTGGAGGTAGAGGATGATGAAGAGGATATGAGTGCAAAAGAAGAAGTAGTGACACAGGAAAACATACAAATTTCTGTCAATGCTATGGCTGGAGTATCACATTACAGTACCATGAGAGTTAAGGGAATGCATGGTAAAAGAGCACTCTTTATCCTAATAGACTCTGGCAGTACACACAATTTCATAGACAAAAAGATAGCTGAAAAGCTAGGCTGCAAAATGATAAACAATGGGTTGGCAAGAGTCACTGTAGCAGATGGTAATACAATAGATGTGGCAGCCAGAGTAGAAGGGTTTCAATGGACATTCCAACAAACTCAATTCACAACTGATCTTATGGTTATCTCATTGGGATGTTGTGACATGGTTTTAGGAGTTCAATGGCTGGAAACCTTGGGAAAAATTTCTTGGGAATTTAAAGAGCTAACAATGGCATTTAAGGTGGCCAACAAGAAATTAGTATTACAGGGAATCAAACAAGGATCTGTGAGGGAGATCAAATCCAGAGAATTGAATAAGGTTTTGACTCAAGAAGGGGAGTTTGCTAGGCTTTGTGTAAGAGAATATTCATCAGCAACCACAGATTGTTTTTTAACAGCCATGGAAGTTGACAGTGAAATCTCAGATGATATTTCTCACTTGCTGACTGAGTTTGAAGACATTTTTCAGGAACCTAAAGAGTTACCACCATTCAGAGAGGGACATGATCATAAAATTCCACTAGTACAAGGAGCTAATCCTGTAAATCAAAGGCCATACAGATATTCTATCTGTCAAAAAAATGAGATTGATAAAATGGTGGAAGAAATGCTAAGTTCAGGAATTATTCAGCCTAGTTACAGTTCATATGCCTCTCCAGTGGTATTGGTGAAGAAGAAAGACAATTCATGGAGATTGCGTGTTGACCTCAGGAAGCTGAATGCAAATACCATAAAAGATAGGTTCCCAATACCTCTCATTGAAGATCTCATGGATGAACTGGGAGGGTCCAAAATTTACTCTAAAATAGATCTCAGAGCTGGGTATCATCAAGTGAGAATGAGTAAAGAGGATATTCATAAAACAGCTTTCAAAACACACAATGGACATTATGAATTTGTTGTAATGCCCTTTGGTCTCACAAAATGCACCAGGAACATTTCAGTATTTGATGAATTCTGTTTTCAGGCCTTTTCTCAGAAAATTTGTACTGATCTTCTTTGATGATATTCTGATCTACAGTGCTACTTTAGAAGATCATGTAAAGCATTTGAGGATAATATTTGAGACTATGAGAGCTAGCAAATTGTTTGCAAAAAGGAGTAAGTGCAACTTTGCTGTCAACAAAGTGGAATATTTGGGGCATTATATTTCAGAAGAAGGCATAACTACAGATCCAAGAAAGGTGGAAGCTGTGGTTAATTGGCCTATACCTAAAACCATTAAACACCTCAGAGGTTTCTTGGGATTATCAGGTTACTACAGGAGATTTGTAAAAAATTATGGGGCTATTGCTAGACCTTTAACTGTTCTCCTTAAAAAGGATAGTTTCCAATGGAGTGAAGAAGCAACTTTGGCTTTTCAGAATCTGAAATCTGCACTTTGTGAAGCCCCGGTATTAGCATTACCAGATTTTAATAAACAATTTGTGGTAGAGACAGATGCTTGTGGGTATGGTATTGGTGCAGTGTTGATGCAAGATGGTCACCCTTTGGCTTACATTAGTAAGCATCTCAAAGGTAGACAATTACATTTGTCTATCTATGAAAAAGAATTACTGGCTGTTGTTTTTGTTGTACAACAATGGAGACACTACTTGCTTTCAAAACATTTCACCATAAGAACTGATCAAAGAAGTCTTAAGTAACTATTGGAACAAAGATTGAACACCCCAATCCAACAACAATGGCTTCCCAAGTTGTTGGAGTTCAGTTATGACATTCAGTACAAGCAAGGCAAGGACAATATAGCAGCAGATGCATTATCAAGAGTGGAAAGTACTGCAATTCTAAATATGGCATTATCAGTTGTGTGTTCCAATTTGTTACATTCTATACAACAGTGTTATCAGACAGATCCACAACTGAAGCAAATTATTGAAATACTGGAAAAGGACCCCAAAGGGAAGAAACATTACACGTGGCTGCATGATCAACTCAGAAGAAAAGGGAAGTTGGTTATAGCAAATGAAGCTTCATTAAAAAATGAGATACTGTAATGGCTTCATTGTGCAGGGACTAGTGGACATTCTGGGAGAGATGCTACTATGCAGAGAGTTAAAGCTCTATTTTATTGGAAGGGAATGGCGGCTGACATTCGACATTTCATCAGAAGCTGTATCATATGCCAAAGAAGCAAATATGACAGATCAGCTTCTCCAGGGCTTTTACAACCTCTGCCTATCCCTGAAAGTGTGTGGAGTGAAATAACTATGGACTTCATTGAAGGATTACCTCTATCCTATGGTAAATCTGTCATATTTGTGGTTGTGGACAGATTAAGTAAAGCTGCACACTTTATGTTACTTGCGCATCCTTATTCTGCTGCTACTGTTGCTCAGTGTTTTCTGGACCACATATTCAGATTACATGGATTTCCTCAATCCATTACAAGTGACAGAGATGCTGTTTTTATGAGTGAATTCTGGAAGGAATTTTTTAGAATACAAGGGGTCTCTTTGAATGTTTCTACAGCCTATCACCCTCAAACAGATGGACAATCTGAGGTGGTTAATAGGTGTTTAGAAACATATTTGAGGTGTATGTGTGGTGATGAACCTCATCAATGGACTAAGTGGTTACCCCTGGCAGAATGGTGGTACAATACAACTTATCACACTTCAACTCAGCTTACTTCTTATGAAGTAGTCTATGGACAGGCTCCACCTATGCATTTACCTTACTTACCAGGTGAATCTAAGGTGGACATGGTTGCTAGAAGTCTGCAGGCCAGGGAAAATATGATCCAGCTTCTCAAATTTCATTTGGTGAGAGCACAACAACGAATAGAACATTATGCTAATATGCATAGAAGTGAAAGACAATTTGACATTGGTGATTTTGTTTATGTCAAATTACAACCATATAGGCAGCAGAGTGTAGTTTCAAGAAGCAACCAGAAATTGACTCCTAGATATTATGGACCATACCCCATAATAGATAAGTGTGGAGCAGTAGCTTATAAACTCCAACTTCCAGCTTCCTCCCAGATACATCCAGTGTTTCATGTTTCCCAGTTAAAGAAACATGTGGGCAATGCAGTGAGTGCAACAGCTCTACCTTCTGTGGTTCCGGAATTGTTTCAAAAGAAGCCAGAAGCTATTTTAGAAAGGAAGATGGTAAACAGGCATAATAAGGCTGTTACTAAGGTGTTGGTGAAATGGGAAAATCAGCCAGTGGAAGAAGCTACTTGGGAGTTCTTTTATGATCTGAAGAAGAAATTTCCTGACTTTGAACCTTGAGGACAAGGTTCTTTCAACCGGGGGAGATTTGATATAGCAAAAAGGCTTCTAGAATAAGACACGTGTAAACAGGTTAGTTAATACAGTTAGCTAGCTGTTAGATTCTGTTAGAAGGGAAGCGGATATAAAATGTAACCGAACACTTCATTTTGAATATATCTTCCAGTTTCATTGTTCTTACCAGTCGGCCAGAAATGGACTTGAGGAAGAGAATTGTAGTAGTTATACATTAGTTCTCGATTCATATTGATTGTTCTATTCAATTGATATTCAATCATCTTTAGAATACAGAATTTGCTGTATTAGATGCGATGGCATATATATGATTTTTTGGGAAGAAAACTCATGTACTCCCTCAAGGCCATCATGAAATAATAGTCCATAAGGAACTACCTTCGGTTATAAATAAATTGACATCTAGAGAGTAGAAACCCAACACAATAAAACATTATAAAATTTTGTATTTCTCCTATTATATAATATATATTAGTATGAATCTAGTTTAGGGGATTGGAAGTTTCATGAAAATTTTCGGGGAATGCTACTAATTTGATAGAAGTTCCCTTTAAGTGATGGTGTGTGAGCTGCTCTGCTTCTTCTTGAAGGGTGATTCCGCCTTTCTATATGACTGTATCTTACTCTATTAGTATGAGATTGTGTGTTCCCTCTAACATGAAAATGAATGAGAGCGGATGATCGGGACCCAGGCAGAATAGGCTATTAATAATAATATTAAAGAGTAGTATAAATAGGAGGAGAGTGAAGAATAAGGGGCAGGCAGAATCAGTTGGATTTGGGCTGGGGTCTAGGAGAGAGACACTCTCGAAATGCTCTCTATTTTCTTCTTTTTCCTTATTGCGCTGTTTAACAGTCTCCTTTGTATGCTGTTTTCCTGATATAGTTTAAGGAATTCTGAGATCTTATCAATATACTTCTAATATTCACCTGCATTTGTTGAGTTCCTAAGAGAGGCAATCTTTATTAACACATACAATTTTAAAATGATGTCATGCCATATAATGGTTATTACAACAACAACAACAACATTACCTCATTCGCAAAGGCTCCCATCTACGGTGGGATAAGGGGGGTCGGATGTACGAGCCTTACCCCTATACTAAAGCACAGAGAGACTGTTTCCAGATGACCCATGATGAAAATCGCGTTGAAAATTGCATGAACTGACTTCTTCTTCATAACAAAGAAACACAGACAATTTAGTGAGTCATTTTGCTTTATTCCATCATATTCTCAAACCAAAAAATAATAAGTTTTTTGGCTCCATTGGAAATGATGGAAATAGGTATTGTCTATTTCCATCAAGTAATGGAAACCATATAATGGTTGTTGTGGAAGCAAAATCGTTTACCCCTTAATGAAATAATAGTCAGTTTTTTTTTTTTTTTTTTGCAATTATAATAGTCAGTTAAGAAATTATAATTTGCTAAAAAAATACTACGTAATGGTTACCGTTCATTCAAAAACCCAATACAATAAAACATAATAAAACTTTGCCCTTCTATACTATTAGTAAGGGGTTGTACATTATATAAAATTTAAAGATATATGTATATTGTGGATTATTATTTGATATGTGTGTACTAGTAAGTTGAAATTTGAATTGGCAGAGTTAATATAATTTCCGGGAAGAATGAAGACAGAATGATGACGACAGGATTGCATACTGTCGCAGACATCTTCTGTGTTGGTTGTGGATCAATTGTTGGCTGGAAATATGTGAGTTCAGACCTGGACATTTTTGCATCTCTTTGGGATCCTTTTGTCTCTGGAAAATATTTTCCTTAACTCTTCAAACTATTGTGGAAAATGATTCTCTTTTTTTTGTAAGAGGGGGTCTTTTTCCCAAAACAGTTTGTTTTTTCTGTTATTGTACTTTAAAGCTAAAGCTGAAGAAACGCTTGCTTAGTTTTTTTTTGTGATATTTCACCCAAATAATACATAAAAAGTGCTTTTTATCAAAAACTGCAAATTCTACTTTTTTCAAATCACTCCGTTTTTTCAAACACTGCAAGCTTTTACCATTAAGCATTTTTCCAAAACTAATAAAAGCATTACTCAAAATAAAAATTAACGAAACGTTGCCTATATTATATATTGAACAACTTGTTTTGGAGGAGAGTATTTTTCACACTCACTCCACCAAAACTTATTTTCTTCAATTAAATGGAGCCTTATTCCTTGTTTTTTTCTTATATCTATAACAAGTGTTACTCATTTACTACTCTCAGGAAACTGCTTACGAGAAGGATCAGAAGTACAAAGAAGGGAAATCCGTCCTTGAAAGGTCACTTGATATACATATACTCCTACACTCCTATGTGTCTATACATACACAAGCATACATGTGTGTATATATGTATATATACAAGTAGGGGAGGTTTCTAGACCCCCTTTAAAATGAGAACCCATTTATAGATGAGAACTTCTAATCAACACCCTTGATTTATGGAATCAAGGTTAGAATTAATAAGGTGGCATTTTTGTAATAACTCTACAATAATTACAAAAAAGACCCCATTTGAATTTTCAATAATTACACAAAGTACCCCATGTGCATACTACCAATGATTGAATAAAATAAAAAGTTGTGATTAAAAGTTCCCATGATAACAAGTTCTCATTTTAAGATGAGTTCTCACTAGAACCCTCCCCTATACAAGTATATGTTTATATATATATGTGTGTGTGTGTGTGTGTGTGTGTGGAAATCTTCTTATTTGTCAGGAAGGACTAGCATCAGGTTCAGCCATGAGATTTTATAACTTATATTAGTATATACCCTGCAGGCTGCAGCGTAACTAAAACATAAAATAAAAGAATATCACAATAAATATAAACTCATACGTAGTATATAATAATAACATAAATCACAATTTATTTCTATAATTAATAAACCAAAAGAATTAAAATACATACAATACTTTGAACTCAAATTGAACTTTGGCATATACAGAGCCACCCTTCTAACAATTTTTTGTAATAAAATTTTCAATGATGTCTTCATATTCAACTATTTTCAATATGTCCATCTCACTTGCTATCAAAGCTAATCCATCAAGTTTTTCACGTGTCTTTGTAGAACAAACGTAGGATACCAACATCTTGAGTTTAAGATTTTCTTATAATAAAAATTTACAAGCTGTTAATTTTTTGCCCCTGTTCATCGGCTCATTTGTGCACCTAAAGGGCAGGCAGTAACTCACATCCACTGTTGATCTTGCTTCCCTTCATGTTTGAGTCAGTAATCTAAAAGCAGTCCATGGACCACGGTGGATGTGAGTTCATCATGATTGAGACCGTCAGGAAAGACAGCTTCTCCAACCACATGTCATTATTACAAACACAGTTACACTTGCATATTGAATGCAAGTGAACCAGTTAAATAGATTTCTTCATTTTCAAATGATGAGCAGGTATAAGATTTCCGGCCCCGATGGAAACAACTACTGGATCAATCATGAAGCACATGCCGTAGGAAGTGATGGTGATGATGCGTGATCACCTTTTAGGATCCCATTCCATATTGTTCTTGTATATACAATTTCTCATATCTGATTAGTATCTTTAGCTTGTCAAGTCTCTTGTATACCCCCAAAGGATAACCGTTTTCTGTAAGCTATTCATGATACGTATGAATTTCAACAAGCATTTTATGCATGCTTGAATCAGTTTATACATTCCTAATTAATCAAATTTTCTCACTGTAATGCTAATTTAGTGATAATAACTGTTTACCAGGGTTCTTGTTTTCTTTGGTGTTTTTAGCTGTTATTTCGAGAATTAGATCCCGGTACTGGCTTTGGAATTATGTTGAATGAACATTTAGCATTGAATCGAGGCCAAGAATGCAGAACAAGAGTTAGATCGGTTAGTTGTGCATAAAAGGTCCACAGAGAAGAAAGGAACTGAAAAATTGGAGTGCGGGTTGTGTGAGCACCACGTGCATGGGTGTGTGCACAAATAAAATTTTCGGACTTGCTGACACCCGCGCACGGTGGTGCGCACATACATGGACCTCCACATGTAGTGCACATGGGCATATGCATGTAATTTATGCCTAAATTAACTTCAACGCTTTATTTAGAAGTTCCTAATTATGATCTTCACACCTCTATTTTTCATAGAGTTTAGCTTGGGAACAACATAATTTGGAGTATCATCTATTATGTCATTCTTTTGAGTAGTTTACTCTGACAATTCTATAGTTCTTTCAATTATGTACTGTGAGTAATTCTATATAGGGAAAAAATGCTCTATAACCTAAAAAAATAGGCCACTTAAAGTTAATAACATCTATTTTGGTTATTGAAATACATAGCACTTTTTTGTTAATATAAAACCCATCAAATTTTAACTACCGTATAGAGAGTATAAACTTCCTAATTATGGTTGCAAAAACGGTTCTTCTATATTATCACATCATAATAATTGGACACTAAGTAATCTTGGTGGTAAACGGTGGTGTTAATCACATTCATTGACTCCAATATTTCAGAGAAACCGGCAAATGTTTGCGAACTTGTATATTGTTGCTGCCATCATGGAATTAGAAGAAAATATTGCAGCATGATCGATTTACAATACTAGAAGAAAATTGCAGACTAAGAGAGATACTTCACGGGTGAAGAAACTGCCTAAGGTTTATAACGGGCAAAGTACACCGGTGAATTTTAATAAAAGCTATCTACCTAATTTTTGTTAATCCATAATATTAACTTAAACACACATATTTAATTATGCACATACACCCAATTTTCTCTTCTATTATATTCATATAATTTGTTTTGTGAATTATTAATTGTTACTCGTATCATTTATAATCTGTAATGGCTTCTATAGCTATATTGACATGTAGATTAATTTTAAAAAGATCTAAATTATTTTTGGATATATAGTTTGACACGCACAATATATCCCAATTTAGACGGTACACCCCTACAAACCGATCTAACTCTTGTTCTACATTCTTGGCCTCGATGTAGGGGTGTATGCTCACTTGTTTGGTAATGATATAGAAATATGCTACTGAGAGATTAGTATTGTTCTTAGGATCATTATATTCTACGTCGCGAGGGAAGCAAGAAGTCAATTAATAGTTTTGATCGATTATTCCTAAACTCTTCCAAATTCAGTTTTGTTTCAAAGGATAAGATTCACATTGGCATCCCTGAAACATGGTATATTCTAAAGATTTAAAATGAATTAATATACAAGTTTAGTGAAACGAAGTGCACTTTTTTAGAAATACAATATGTAATTGATTCCCTTATCTTGAACAAATTTAGGAATCTACGTCCATATATAACTCAATAAGTATAAGTAAATAGATATTAAGTCCCAATTTCCCTGATATATATATATCAGCCCCGTGCGGACAAGACCATCAGAGGGTCTTCCCGGTGGAATTGTTTTATGAAATTTTTTGAGCATGTTACTCATCCAGTCTAGTTTGTCCATATCAAATTTCAGCTCAAAATTCAATTGGGAAGGCAGTCAAATAAATCCTGGAAAAATATGGCTCATTCTGCGCACATATAATGTGCAGTATGTTTCCAGGATTTATTTGACTGTCTTCCCGATCGAATTTTGAGCTGAAATTTTGTATGGACAAACTAGACTTGATGAGGAACATGTCCCTCCGGAGGGACGGGAGGGACCGTCCGGCCAAGGCCATCAGAGGCCCTTCCCGGTGGAATTTTTTGATGAAATTTTTTAAGCATGTTCCTCATTAAGTCTAGTTTATCCATACCAAATTTCAGCTAAAAATTCAACCGGGAAGGCACTCAAATGATTTTTGGAAGATAACTGCATTTTATATGTATATAAACTGCGCAGTTAACTTCCAAAAATCATTTGACTGCCTTCCCGGTTGAATTTTTAGCTGAAATTTGGTATGGATAAACTAGACTTCATGAACAACATGCTCAAAAAATTTCATCAAAAAATTCCACCAGGAAGGGCCCTAAATGGCGACGGCCGGACGGCGGATCCTGTCCCTCCGGCTGGACAGGATCAGGCCTCTCTCTCTCTCTCTCTCTCTCTCTCTCTATATATATATATATATATATATAGGGAGCGGTTCCGGTAAGAACACATCTTAGGAGAGAAATGGGAACGAATCTGGACCGTTAGATTTGAATTATGTGGAACTAAATTGTGCATTTGATGAAACCGAAATGTGCATTAGATGATATTGAAATGTGCATAATAAAAATTTAAACTCACATGTGCATTAGGTGAAGCTGAAATGTGCAGAATAAAAAGTACTAAAATAACATCACATCGTACCTTTTATTCTGCACATTTTAGTTTCATTTAGTGCACATTTCAAACCCACCTAATGCACAATTTAGCTTCACATAATGCCACTACATTGTACCTTTTGTGCTGCACATTTCAATTTCACCTAATACACGTTATAGTTTTATCTAATGCACATTGAATTTCATATAAAGCAAATCTAACGGTCCAAATTCATTCTCATTTTTCTCATAAGATCATGTTCTTATTTGAACCAAAACCTATATATATATATATATATATATATATATATATATATATATATATATATATATATATATATATATATATGAGTAATGATCCGGTCAGGAGTTCCTGACCGGAACCGCCGTCCGGACCGCGGCGTTTGGCCGCCTTCCCGGTGGCTTTTTTTTGATGAAATTTTTATGACATGTTCTCCATCAAGTCTAGTTTATCCACAAAAAAATTCAGCAAAAACTCAATCGGGAAGGTCGTCAAATGATTTTTGCAAGTTAACTGGTCCGGAAAATACATATTCCGGACCAGTTAACTTGCAAAAATTATTGGAAAAATTCACAAAAATAATCCCACCTTTCACCGGTCTTCTCATAATAATCCCACCTTTAAATAATCCCAAAATAATCCCACCTTTGCACCTCATCTTCTTTCATTGGACCCTGACCATGTTTTTTACTCTTTTTTTGAAAATCATATAAATGATCTCACCTTTCACTTTTTTATTATATCTTTATAAATGTAAGATTATTTATATAAGATTCTCAAAAAAGGTAAAAAAACTTGGTTAGGGTCCAATGGAAGAAGATGAAGTGCAAAGGTGGGATTATTTTGGGATTATTTAAAGGTGGGATTATTATGAGAAGACCGGCGAAAGGTGGGATTATTCTTGTGAATTTTTCCAAAATTATTTTCTAACACTTTCAACTTCGAAATTTAGAGCAAACACTTTCAAAAGGGGCCAGAATTCCTGGTCTCTCTCAAGTCTCGGTCTTTACCTATACCAAACTTACTCTCATACTCCACAAAACTTTATCTCACATTCTCACTCATAAGATGAACATTTTACTATGGTTCTAAAGTAACGTAATGCTTAGCAAATTGTTGCCTCGTCCTAATATGATTTCAATTGCAGAAGACCAGAAACTCTTAAACGTAAAATTCATTTCAAAATGACTTTTGTATGTTTACAAGTACAGTTACACGTGTAAGGGGGCTTAATTAGATACATGTTGGAATCTATGATGGGCAAATAGTCCATGTATCAATTGAATGAACTATAATCCATACCCGAGTTTTTGTCAAACTGTTACTTAAATTTGTTTTTAATGACATAATTGAACACATAACCTCTGTCAATATGGGAGGCGAGCAAGGTGGTTGACCGCCTTCTTCGCCCAATCATACCAAAATAAAGGCAAAAAACAGCCAACAAGGCATCTCCCACTCAAAACCTCATTTGATAAATTGGGTATACGTGTCGGTGGACGTAGTTCAACTGGTAGATAGGGGGTGCCACAAGGGGTAAATCTTGGGTTCGAATCCCGGTAACTGCAGTGAGAGGTTATATGCCTAAAAATAGGGCCTCTACAAGTACCAGAGCCAGATCCAACTCTCTATCTGTCAGCTTGTAATTAAAGTTCAATTTACATCTTCCCAACGAACTGTCTGAAAGGTGTTGGGGGCACTCAAGGATGGGGTGTCATCTTTTTTTTGACAAAATGGGTATACGTATTGAATCCTTCTGTCACAAAGAAAAAATTGACCACATAATGAGTATAGAATGATGATCCATCCTTGCTGTTTTTTGAATAATTAGAGAAATCTCCACGGGTACTCAATGGTACGTTAGGTCTGTCAATGAGTCGGGTCTAGATTGGAACATAACGTTCCAGACCCGAATCCGCTAAGTTAATAATGACTCGGACCCGTCTCGTTTACCTGGCAAGTCTGAAAATTTGAACTCAGATCCGGACCTAACGAGTCACGGAACCGGGTCGGGTAGACCAGCCGGGTATGATATGCTCAATGTTATAGATTTTGTGAAAATAACAAGACCTACATATGAGATATAAAGCAAAGTACCCAAACTTAAAAACAAAATACATATTCACTTTTCAAAAAAACTCAAGGTCTCTTATAGAAAATTAGTACTTCTATCCAATAAAGTATTGGTTCTTGTAACTGCACACTCTGTGTCGCTTTCTCTCGCACATAGAGCTCGTAGAATGAACTAGAAATTAAGTCACAAAAGGTCTATTGGACTACTGAGAGTATAAAATATTGTGCTTTGCCTGCCGAGCCCAATACACATTTATCAGTATGTATAAACGGTCAAAATGAATATAAGTTTTTAGGGTATCTCACTAACTCCATCAGTATCATCTATATAGTAGATATGTATTAGTGTGTGTATTTTTAATTGAAGAATTATAACTAATAACTTTATGTGTTATTATGTATTTATATGTGTGTATATATTAGTTTGAATTTTTTTATTTGAAGTGTTATAAATAACCACTTTATGTATTAGTGTGTGTACAAATAAGAAATTTTAAACGGGTCTGGGTCCTTAACAGGTCGGAATCGTATGTACCGTATCCGACTCATTTATTAAATATAATAACGCGTTAGAATCCGGACTAGGTAAACGGAATAAAATATATACATGTAGCCGTTACAAACAACCGGGTCCAGGTCAGGTCTGAGTCTAGACCTGACCCATTGACAGGCCTACAAGTCGGAATATAAGGCCGTCTAGACCCGACCCATTGACAGGCCTACAAGTCGGAATATAAGGGCGTCTAAGATGGACGATTCTACCATATTTACTCCTCCACAGTTCTATGGAATCAGGATGTTAGGGTGTTTGAGATGAACGATTCTACCTTTTTGGGTTTGAATATTTAGACGATTACAATTGGATGGATACTCACAAGTCACATATGAGTGGATAAATAATTGAATGTCAAGCCATTTAATGATGCGATCTAAGTTTTAGATGAAAAATTAAAATTAATTAATGTTCAGTCCACATCCAGTCTTTACTTCTTTTGTTTTTTCCCTTCTCCTCCTCTCACTTCACTCTGGTCTTCTGTCTTCTTCTTTAATTAAATCAGTTGCTAATCTTGACTTTGTTGTTTGGACACCCATGCATTAAAATGACACTGAAAACCAATGACTGGAAATTGTACAATCAAAATGGAAGCCTAAAAGTATGAGATAAATTAATACGAATATTATTGATATTCAGCCTCTCCACTTGAAATCTTGAACGAAATATTATTGAGTGTTTATGAAATTCTAAAAATCTGGGTTCTAAAAGGGACAATAGTAGCGAAATTAAGAAAGTGATTTGCGGGGTGTTAAATGATTAGCCAGCCATTACTTTATCCGCAACATTGGAGACGACACTAATCCTTGAAACGTTGGGAAATGGCGAAATAACTTCAGGCCTTAAAATCCTTTTATTTTTTTGGGAAAAATTCCAGGCCTTAAAATCCTATAACAGAGATTTTAGATACTTAAATTAGGCTCATTTCTAAAGGGAGAAAAAACTTAGCGGGGTTTACAAGATGATTGTCATGTTATTTGGACAAATAAACTTAATATTCTTCAGGAAAATAACAAAGTCAAAGACAACCATAAAGCTCAAAACTACAATACAAATACAATGTGATGAGACATAAAATTAGATATCCAAATACAACACTCTAATTTGATTATCTTGCAATGACGTAGACTATGCTTGCATATTGACTATAATAAAAATAATAGATAAAAGACCTGATTTTATGTTAGGATAGCAAAAAAACATACATCTAAACTTGACCATCTACTAAAAAGGAACTTCAAAAGTTGTCGGTATTATCGGCCATCCATAAGGAGCCAATCGTAAGCCCAATCCTGATTACACCAGCCACCTCAAAGAGAATAAATCATTTCAGCTCATCTTCCTGGCATGCCTGTGGTCTGGGGGCTATTGTAATATGAGCACAAAAGAACACTAGATTCACAATTGATCACCATAAATTGCATTTCACGAATAGAAATACAGCTACCCTGTGGTTGGAAAGTATGTGGAGTGAAAACTTTAAACTATTACTGTGTAATTTTTTAAGGCTAAAATTTTAAAACTAAGAAGTGAATTTTTTTAATGAAAAACGCTCCCTAATTCAATTCACACCAGATATTTTGGACCACCATTTTTTTTGACTAAAAACGCTTCTCTTCTTATTGTGGTGTACATTTCGTAATTATCCGGAACCAGGGGGGGCTGATTGCAATCAATGTTACGTGACCGTAAAGGGAAGATACCCAAAAAAACAGCACAAAACTGTTAGTTGCATTTAACCTTCGACCCCACAAGACTTTTCTCTCACTACCTTAACCCCCCAAAAATGGCAAAGTTTTATATAGCGCCCCCAACCCCGCCTAAACTTCTCCCCCTCCTTCACTAAGCGTAATTGATACTCAAACTGATCTCCTTATCATCAAATTACGCTTCTCCACTCTGTAATTCACATCCGTTCTCAACAATGCCGATTCTTTGAAGCTCTACATTTAATCCGACTGTAATCTGGTCATTATTGGTTTTAATCTTTTGCTGGACACGATTATGAATTTGTCGTGTAGCTGGACACGATTATGAAATGTGAGGTTGATTTGAGCTGAGCGTTGGAGCACCCGGAGCTGGGTTTTCGATTTTGAATTCGCGAAAATAGACGGCGGCGTATTCTCTGTGGGTTTGGGAACGAGGGGAAGGTTTTGAGTGGGTGTATTTGGAGGGTTGGTTATGTGGATTGGGTGAGGGAGGGTTTGGGAACCTGACAATGGGAAGTCTTAGGAGCTCGGTGATGGTGGATAAGGAAGAGGAGCTCGTGATGTTCAATGAAATGCGGAGGCGAGAGAAGGAACAGGACAATCTTCTTCTTCTCCAGAAACCAGATGACTTTGATGATCTTCTTGGTATTGAAAGATTTTTCCGTTTCATTTCTGTGTTTATTAGTGATTTAGAGGTTGTGTTAGGATTTGGGTATGCATTTCTTCGTTTGATAGTTTTTTGCTTCTTTTTTGTTTAATTCTTCATTCATCATCTTCAACTGAATTTGTTTTTTTAGTATCAAGTGCATATGTCTGTTTGAATAGATATTTGATTTTTTGTCCAAATTTATGGTTCTTACTCATAAGTACTGGTATTAAAGTTATGCCAAAAAAGTCCTGCATTTTCACTAGCTTGCTCTTATCTTCTGCAAACTGGAATTTTGAGCATTCTTTTTTGTTGCAATTCCTCTTTCCTGCAGGTTCTAAGGATCTGAATTCTTCTTTTCTTAATGACGGGGCATACATGCCCGCCCAAAAGACGGTTTCGGATGAACTTCTAAATTCTGATAATGATAAAAACGACTATGATTGGTAATTCCTTGGTGTTTGTCATTGTTTGCCCATAATGTATATGATCGTGGCTGTTTTTTGGTGGCTTATATCATGTATTGCTTGGGTAGGTTGATATCCTACATCATGATCTTTTGTGTGTTGAGATGTCAAAATCAAGTTTCCTTTACTTGATATCTTCTTGTTTAACCTTATTGTTCTGCGCAACTGTTACTCAATTTTATTACATACTATAATGCAATAACTTAAGAGCTAGTCAGCTAAGAGTCTGTTTGGGAATGATTAGTGATTTTATAGGGAGTACTTTCTCATTTAAGCATTTAAAAATCCCTATTCTGGTGCCCTCTTTAATAAACATGAGAAAACGATTTTCTAATAATTAAAATCATTTCATTTCCTTGCAAATACTTTATTTTAAGCAACAGTACTCCCCCCATAAAAATGCTTCATTTTTCAAAATAAGTCATCCAAACGCACTTCAAGTTTTTATTGTATCATACTTCATATTGACCAATTGTTTCATGCAAATCCTATATTTTATATGCTACCATCAAACTATTATCAGGCAAAACATATATTACGTTTCAGGCTAATATCACCACCTGGCACTCCTCTTTTCCCTTCACTGGAGATGGAGTCCCAGAAAACAGTGATGAGTCAGTTGGGAACCTTGAAAGCACGACCAACTGCATTGAAATCCAGAGTGAGAAGCTTTTAATGTTTACTTGATTTTTGTAACAATCCTGTTTACTATCTTTTCTGGTACATTATTAGGGTTGTCATCATATTACCAGCCATACCTCCATTTTTAAGACCTAATGACAAAAAATGCAACCTTTGTGCGAATTTTCGATTGGTGCAAAGTATTATAAAAATCCAATTTAGCCACGATATGTGTGGCTAAATTGATTTTTTAAGGTTTGGATAAAATGCAATTCCGTGCAAAGGTTGTGGTTTTTGGGTCTTACCGTCTTACGCCTTCTCTTATTATAAATGGGGTACTCGTGAATTTGAGAAACAGCTACTATCATGGAGGGCTTACCTTATATGCCTGCATATCTTTAAGTGATTAAACTTTTTAAAAGATTTGATGACATCCTTTTTTTTCCTAGGAAAAAAATACATCTTGTCTTTTTAGAGGTGAAAAAAAGATTGGTTGATTTTCACAAAATGTCCAAAACATTCAATATGCAAACTATTACACTTAAAGAGTCAAAACACAACAATCTCTAAGGCTACTGGAACCCAGAGAATGGCAGAAAGAAATGCAAAAGGATACTAATTTATTATGTTTGTTTTACCTTAGCAAATACAAGGGAAATGAAAATTGATCGACGCTTCTAAAACTTTGCATATATTCTAATTCGCTTAGTGTTTACGTCGTATGTAGTATATAATAGAAAAAAAAATAAACAAACGGACTCTAGAGGTCTCAAGTTTTTGTGAAAAAAGTTATGCTTATTTTTTAACTGGTCAAAGTTTTAACTTATGATTTACTAACTGCCTTAGTGTTAACATTCACAAGAATCTATATATTGATTTTGACCTGTAATTTCATTACCATGTTTGCAGCTAGCAAATCCGCCTGGACCCACAGTTGGGAACAACCTGACATTGAGACATCCACACTCTTCATATCCAGGGTTGAACACTTCAATACCGAGTTTTAGAAGACCTTCATCTCCAGGTGGCTCTAGACCTTTATCATCCACTAACCGACCCACACAGACTACATCAACTAAACCACAATTGAACAACACAGTATCCAAAACATCAACTTCAACAAAGTCGTCCAGGGCTGTAACACCTACTCGTGGCCTGCCGTCACCTTCTACTAAGCCCATGGTTAATCCCAGATCTTCTATACCAACAAGGCAGCCCATTCCCGGATCAAAGCCCACTTCCAGGTATAGGTGTAAACAAATCAAATAAAATATCCACATTTGAATTTGGATGTATTTTATGATACTCGTTTTCGTTTAAGGTCTGGATATATCGATATGATTTGAATTTTCAAATCTGAAATGCTTATAATAAGTGTTAGTGTGTGTAGTGGTGTGTCAATGTGTCTTTATACATACACATATTGATAGGGATGCTGGGAGCCAGTCCTATTTTGATAATAATATTAAGTATTTTGATCATGTATACTCAAGGAGGAATAAGGGTCATAATAAGTAGCTATATGTTACTAGTTATCGGTTGGGGGAAATATTACTATAAATAGCTAGGTCCTTGTAATAATTGGCAGGCTGGTATTGGCTTGTATTGGGCTGGGACTTGGAGAGAGGCATCTCTTAAAACTGCCAGACATTATTTCTCTCTCTTGTTTGTTATACGATCTTCCTCCCTTACTGTGCATTGTCCATTTTTCTCCAATTCTGCTGCTAGATTGTTGTTCGCAGGTCTGATTCCCTATCATTGGTATCAGAGCGGACGATCAGAGGACCTGTTTATGGTGGCGGCAAGAAGAAAAATGAATGACCGAGTGGAAAACTTGGAGCGAGAATTGGCGCGTCAATCTGCAGAGATTGAGCGCGAGCTGGAAAGGCACCGTGAAGAGGCCAGGCTAAGGGATGAGGAGGCTCGCGAGGAAGCCAGGAGGAGGAGCGAGGAAGTCAAAAGGGACCTCGATGACATTCGCGAGCTGCTGAGACATAAACATCGCCATCACTCCCGCGAACGATCATCGCACTCTAAGGCGAGTACCAGACATGGAAGCAGTGACTCACGTTCAATCTCAGGTAGTCATCGATCCCCTTCCTCCAAACCGATTGATAACCGACGTAGTTGGATGGAGAAATCTGGAAGAAAAGTTGATTTACCTTTATTTAATGGCACTGATGCATATGGTTGGACTATTAAGGTGGAGCGTTTTTTTAAATTGAATCAAATTGATGAGGAGGAGAAGGTTGATCTAGTAACTCTGGCTATGGAGGGAAGGGCTTTAAACTGGTATCACTGGTGGGAGGAGCACTCGAATGTGAGAACCTGGGAATTGTTTAAAGGGGCTCTGTTGGAGAGATTTGAACCAGGATTGGATCAGGATCCATATGGTCCATTATTAAATCTCAGGCAGACTGGAAGTGTGATGGAGTACAGAGATGAGTTTGAATTGGTGTCAGCACCTTTGAAAAACACTGATGCGCAAATGCTTAAGGGGATTTTTATGAAAGGATTGAAGCCTGAGGTTAAAGCGGAATTGAAGAAGAATCCTGTTAGAACATTGACAGAAGTCATGAATAAGGCTTCGAGGGTAGAAGAGAGTAATGCTATCCTGTATTCCAGCAGGCACAGGGAAGATGATAGGAGAGGAAACAAGGGGACTGTTACCAATCCACCTCAAAGGTGGTTGAGTGAGAGCAAATGGAAGAGTACAGTGACCAGTCAACCAGGGTCTGAGAAATATCATGCAGAAAAGAAAAATGAGACTGGAAACAGTGGAGTGGGAGTAAGAGGCACTCACAGGCTATCTCAAGCTGAGCTTCAGGAATTAAGCAGAAAAGGCCTTTGTTTCAAGTGTGGGGAGACTTGGGGCAAGGGACACATCTGTAAGATGAAGCATTTCCAAATTGTGATGATAGATGATTCTGAGGGGGAAGAGGAAGCAGGAGTCAATTATTTGGCACCCATACCTGAAGAGGAAGGATCTGAACCTCCAACCATGCAGCTCTCATTGATGAGCAAAGAGGGGATGACCACTCCCAGGACTTTCAAGGTCAAGGGAGAAGTGCAGGGACTCAGAGGAAGTAAGGAGATAGTAATTCTTATAGATTGTGGGGCCACTCACAATTTCCTATCTCCCAGAGTGGTAAAGGAAGTGGGAATCCCTATTATTCAAATTCCTGAGTTTAAAGTAGAAATAGGGAATGGGGACCTCATTAGAAACAATGGAAGGTGTGAAGCCATCACTGTGAAGTTGCAACAGTTAGTTATAACTCAAGATTTCTACATTTTAGAGTTGGGAGGCACTGAGATGGTTTTGGGAATGGAATGGCTAGCAGGGTTGGGAAAAGTGGAATTCAATTTCCATAACCTGTCTTTGAAATGGGTCCAAGATGGTCAGTTGAGATGTCTGATGGGAGATCCAAAAGTGAGCAAGACTGAAGTCTCTTGGAAAAGCTTGACCAAGAGGGCATCCAAGGATGAACAAGGGTACTGCCTGCATCGAACTGAGGGTAAAATAAATGAAGATAATCAAGTCAGTTTGGGGTGGATTCAGAGGATCAAAGCAGAAGGTCCTGAAGTTTTCAAAGCCTTGGAGGGTCTACCTCCTAGAAGAGATTGTGACCATACTATTGTGATTAAGGAAGGAGCCAATATACCCAACATTAGACCCTACAGATATCCTCAATACCTGAAGAATGAGATGGAGAAAGTAATACAGGAATTGTTGAATGGTGGTATCATCAGAACCAGCACCAGCCCCTACAGTAGTCCAGTTTTGATGGTAAAGAAGAAAGATGGAGGATGGAGATTCTGTGGAGATTACAGGGCCCTGAACCAGATTACAGTCCCTAATAAGTTCCCTATTCCCATTATAGAGGAGTTATTGGATGAGTTGAACAGTGCACAGATCTTTTCTAAATTGGACCTCAAGTCTGGTTACCATCAAATTAGAATGAAAGAGGAGGACATCCATAAGACAGCTATAAGAACTCATGAAGGTCACTATGAGTACTTGGTCATGCCTTTTGGGTTTACCAATGCCCCCTCTACCTTCCAGAGTTTAATGAACCAAGTACTGAAGCCTTACTTGAGGAAATTCACATTGGTGTTCTTTGATGACATACTCATATACAGCCACACAGAGGAAGAGCATTGGGAACATATACAGAAGGTGTTACAGCTGATATACTCCAATCAGTTAGTGCTTAATGAGAAAAAGTGTTCTTTTGGGCAAAGGCAGTTGGGGTATTTGGGGCACATTATATCAAAGGAGGGAGTTGCAGCAGATCCTAGCAAGATTGAAGATATGATCAGCTGGCAATACCCCACAGATGCTAAAAGTTTAAGGGGATTTCTGGGTCTCACGGGTTATTACAGAAAATTTGTAAAAAGGTATGGGAAGATTGTAGCTCCTTTGAATGATTTGCTTAAGAAGGATGGGTTCAAGTGGAACCCTGAGGCTCAGCAGGCTTTTGAAGATCTGAAAAGGAGAATGACTCAACTACCAGTGCTGAAAATCCCAGATTTTAATCAGACTTTTGTAATAGAGTCTGATGCTTCAGGAAAAGGAGTAGGTGCTGTCTTAATGCAGGAGGGCAGACCTGTGGCTTATATGAGTAAAACTCTATCTCTCAGAAATCAAAGTAAGTCTGTTTATGAGAGGGAGTTAATGGCTATAGTTTTGGCTATTCAAAAATGGAGGCCATATCTATTGGGAAGGACCTTTGAGGTGCACACTGATCAGAAGAGTCTAAGGTTCTTAACTGAGCAAAGAATTCTGGGGGAGGACCAGCAGAAATGGGTGACCAAACTGTTAGGGTATAACTTTGTCATCAAGTACAAGCCTGGGGTGCAAAACAAGGCTGCGGATGCATTGTCTAGAAAGGGTAATCTGTATTCCTTGTCAGTGGTAACCTGCCAAGAATGGGAAGGTTTGGAGTGTGAGCTGATGGAGGATAGCAAATATAAGTATATGATTCAGAAATTAGGGGTTGAGCCAGACTCTATTCCTAATTTCATCCTCAAACAAGGACTTCTCTATTTCAAGGGCAGATTGGTAATTCCTAAAAACTCAGCAAGGATTCACAGCATCCTCAAGGAATTTCATGAGTCTGCCATAGGGGGACATGCTGGAAATTTCAAGACTATGAAGAGGATATCATCTTTGTTTTATTGGGAGGGGATGAGAGCTGATATCCAAAAGTTTGTGCAGCAGTGTGAAATATGCCAGAGAAATAAATACCAAGCTCTGAGTCCAACCGGATTGTTACAGCCATTGCCCATTCCAACTCAGATTTGGACTGATCTGAGTATGGATTTCATTGGAGGACTGCCAAAAGCTCAAGGGAAAGACACCATTCTTGTTGTGGTGGACAGGTTGACTAAATTTGCACACTTTATAGCATTATCACACCCATATAGTGCTAAGAGTGTGGCAGAAATCTTCATCCAAGAGGTGGTTAGACTGCATGGGTTCCCTAAAACTATAGTCTTGAGTGTTTTCTTGAGTGTTTTCTTGCATGGGATAGTGTTTTCTTGAGTGTTTTTTGGACTGAATTATTTAAGCTGGCTGGAACCAAGTTGAAGTTCAGCACTGCCTATCATCCCCAGACTGATGGGCAGACTGAGGTGGTCAACAGGTGTGTTGAGACCTATCTGAGGTGTATGACTGGGAGGAAGCCTACGCAATGGCCTCAATGGTTACCCTGGGCAGAGTTTTGGTATAACACCAATTACCATGTGTCCACTAAAAACACCCCATATAGAGCTTTATATGGCCAAGATCCACCAGTTTTGGTCAGGGGTGATGTCACTTCATCAGCTGTGGAGGAAGTGAACAGGTTGACAGCAACAAGGAATGAAATAATAGCTGAATTAAAGAATAACTTGGCTCTGGCCCAAAATCAAATGAAACAGCAGGCTGACTTGAAGAGGAGGGAGGTTCAGTTCAAGGTAGGTGAATGGGTATATCTGAAGATACAACCATACAAGCTCAAGACACTGGCTAGGAGAGTGAATCAGAAGTTAAGCCCTAGATTCTATGGCCCGTTTGAAATCAGTGAGCAAATCAGCCCTGTGGCCTACAGATTGAACCTGCCAGATGACTGTAGAGTTCATCCAGTGTTTCATGTGTCCTTGTTGAAGAAGGCAGTTCCTACCACTTCTACCATACAGCCCCTACCTAAATGTATAACTGAAGACTGGGAGTTGAAGGTGAAGCCAGAAGAAGTGAAGGAAAGCAGGGTAAATGATGCAGGAGAAATTGAGGTGCTGGTACACTGGGAACACTTGCCAGACTTTGAAGACTCTTGGGAGAATCTCAAGCAGCTACTGAAGCAGTACCCTGATCTCCACCTTGGGGACAAGGTGGTGGTTCCAGGGGGGAGTGATGATAGGGATGCTGGGAGCCAGTCCTATTTTGATAATAATATTAAGTATTTTGATCATGTATACTCAAGGAGGAATAAGGGTCATAATAAGTAGCTATATGTTACTAGTTATCGGTTGGGGGAAATATTACTATAAATAGCTAGGTCCTTGTAATAATTGGCAGGCTGGTATTGGCTTGTATTGGGCTGGGACTTGGAGAGAGGCATCTCTTAAAACTGCCAGACATTATTTCTCTCTCTTGTTTGTTATACGATCTTCCTCCCTTACTGTGCATTGTCCATTTTTCTCCAATTCTGCTGCTAGATTGTTGTTCGCAGGTCTGATTCCCTATCACATATGAAGCGGGTTTAATTGAGTGCCACTTCATGTCTCCATGTGAAGTATTCCCCCCCTCCTGTTTTGTGTGTCTTACTTTCCATTTTGGATTGTCCCAGAATAAAAATCTTGCTTCCTTTTGTGGCCAGTAATATGTGGTTCATATCATTTCACTCTTATTATTAAAACTTCAACCACAAGTTTTACTTTTCAACCATTTTATTAATTAAATCTGCCAAACCAAAAGAAGACATACAAAATAGGATGGAGGTAATACTACCTCCGTCCCTTAAAACTTTGCCAAAGTTGACCGGCACGGAGAATAATAAAGTAAAAACTGTGTGGTTGAGATTTGTGCAGAGGAGAGAAAAATAACAGAAACCACAAAATAATTGATTAAAAGGGAAAGTGGCAAAGTTTTTTGGAACGTCCCAAAAAGGAAAGATGACAAAGTTTTAAGGGAGGGAGGAAGTACTTCTTTACTAACTCACAATTAAATGTGGAAAGATTTTAGTGCAGACTTGAAATGAGCAATAGAATCATAACTGTTTGATGTTGAATACTTGAATGTAAAGTTTCAAAACCATGAATTGGTACCTTTTTTGTTGTACTTATTAAAACAACACCACACACACACTCCCTTGTACATATATATGTGTATACATCGATATAGGTGTGTTTATTTATTTGTGTTTTTTATTATTATTCGATTAGAACTGATTAATATTTTTGCCTGAAAAGTATTCAAATAGAAATATACATTATTACATTCCTATTTGGGTTACTTGAGCTCTAATCGTGATATTTGGATTTCATGAATTATACCAAAATTATTTTGATTTTTTACAACTGACATCCAGGGCAGCAACTCCTACTCGACAGCCATCTTCTTCTTCCATAGCCTCCAAGTCTTCTACTGCTGCAAGTCCTGCTACAAAAAAAACTGCACCACAATCTGCTGGTTCTCCATCTGTTAAACCAAAACCATGGAAACCTTCAGATATTCCAGGTTTGTCTCTCAATGCCCCAGCAAATTTGATGACATCAATACCACCAGATAGGCCTCCTGTGAGTCGGGGAAGACCTGGTATACCCGGACCCCGCTCATCATCTGTGGAGTCTGTTGGGAATGGAAGGGTTAGAAGACAATCATGCTCGCCAGCAAGAGGGCGCCCTCCCAATAGAACAATAGCTAATGGCAGTGGGAGCTCTGTACCTATCCCAGCTATGAGCCGATTGCATGCTAAAGCTAATCACAATGTGAGTCCGGTTTTGGTTGGAGCAAAGATGGTTGAAAGAGTGGTCAACATGAGGAAATTGGTTCCGCCAAGACAAGATGAAAAACAATCCCCAAATAGTAATATATCTGCCAAGTCTTCATCGCCCGAGAGCTTAGGATTTGGGAGGAATCTTTCAAAGAAGTCTTTGGATATGGCCATAAGACACATGGTATGTGATTCTTTTTTATATTCAAATTTTCTAACCAAAGGACAGTCCTCCCACACATGAAGAGGATGTCCTGTGTGATACCATCATCTAAAAAAACATTACCCCTTGCCGCAAAGGCTCCCACCTATGGTGGGTAAGGGGGGATTTGAATGTACACAGCCTTACCCATGTACTAAAGGACAGAGAGACTGTTTCCAGATGACCCATGTGACTCCATCATCTGATGCTAACAAATTGACAGGATGGGATGTACTGATGTTTTAAAATAAGTCATGGATGGTCAGATATTGATTATGCTTCCCCCATAGGACGTCCTCTCCATGGGCGGAACTGTGGAAGGGTGTTCCTTTACTCATAAACCTAGAATGCATGTTACTCCCATTATGTCACATTTTTGTGTATTTCCAAAAAATAGGTACTTTCCATAGTCACATTACAAGAACATTTCTTGCTCTACAAAAAGTCAACCTTATGTCATAACTAATTGTCAAGTCAGATTCCTGAACAGTCATGCAACTAGCAATTTTTGTCAATTCCCAGTTACCACAAACAATCTTGAAAATAACCCTTGACGGTAGGGGGTAAAAAGGGCCATTCATGATGCATAAAAGCTTGCACCTCGATTGTGTTGAATAAAAACAAAAAACTGCATCTTACTCAAGCAAGAACAATTTTTCAAACGAAAGGAGTACCACTTGAAAATTCCTTATATTCAACAACACGTGATGGCATTTATGGGGGTGACATTATTATTTACCTCACATTAAAGTTTCACATTCCATACATTGTGATAAAAAAATGCATTTCATCCTGATATATCCAAGTGATAAACATAAATGGAACTTGGGATTTTCCATTTTTCTAATCCTTCATGAATTTCGGTTTTGACAATCAGGATATAAGACGAGCAGTTCCTAGCAATCTAAGACCATCGATGGCCAATATTTCTGCTTCATCTAGGCATAGTTTGAGGACGGAGCCCAGCGGTACAAACAGGTCAGTGACCATATCTGGCTCACCTCACGCAATGAGCAGCAATGCTAGTTCTGAAGTGAGTGTTACCAATGCACCTTGTCGTGATGCAAATGAAGTCGATGATGATGATATTAGCAGCTATAAAGTCGCTCAGTTTAGTGATTCAAGGTAGGTGTGGTCACGCTTCTCCTGCTAAATGAACCAATTATGGGAGTGGGTCCAAAGTGGATGTGTTGGTTAGATGTAGTAATTGGAACTTGAAAGGAAGCCTTTGTATCATAATTTATATAGAAACTGAGCTGTGGTACCTTTTAGTTCATATGATTGTTGAAACTTTCGGTTTTTCTTCTGCAAAGCAAAGTGAAGTCGAATGTGTGAGGTTGCTTCCTGCTTTTGGCACCTGCAAAAGAGGCTTTGAATTTGATGCTTAGAGTTAGGGATGGCCCCGGGCCGGTTCGGGCCCGGCCGGGCCTCGGGTCTGTTTTGTTGGGCCCGAGCCCGAACCGGTGGCCACCGGTTCCGGGTCCGGTTCCGGGCCAGGCCACCCGGTTAGTTTATTTTTTTTTCTTTTCTTCCCCCCTCACCCCCACCCCCCTAAACCGGTCCTAAACATCAAGCCCAACTCAATAAAGCCCAAAAAAATGAAAGAAAAAAAAAACAGTTTTTGACCCGGACCCGGGCCCGACCCAGCCGGACCGGTTCGCTAAATACAAGGCTCGAGCCCGGACCGTCCCCCACCGGGCCTAGGCCCGACCCAGACCTGGACCCAAGAACCGGGCCGGTTCCGGGCCCGCACAGTGGCGGGCCGGGCGGCCCGAACCGGGTCCATGACTACTTAGAGTATGTTTATTAGTTGTCAGCTTTTCTCCAAATGGTCTAATTGACATCCAAATGGTAATTTTTTTAATCAATTCAAGAAGTGCTACAATATAGGGATTCTTGATGGTTGAATTGCCATCCTAGTGTCAGCGGCATCAGTGATTGTTCCTTCTTTATTAGGGCGTGCAAGAAGTGCTACAATAAGGGGCTTCTTGATTTTGAAGGTCCATTATTGTAATTATAATCCATATAATATATCACATGTTCTTTATTTGAATTTTTCCTATTTAGTTAGCAATCTTTCCTTGGTTATCCCAAAATACTTGGTCACTTTTCATTTTTGGTAGTAAATAAAAATGCAATGACAAATTTAACCTTATTGAAGTGTCATTTCCCTGAATAATTCTTACACGCTCACATGTCATTTCCCTTTCACTTATTGTCTTACACAACCTCCCTTTCTTTTACCATCTCTCTTCCTTTCTCTAACCATCTCTCCCCATTGAAAACCCTATTGCCATGAATTATGGGGACATGTTCACTGTCATCCCTGAGACTCCACTAATGGAAGATGACATCAAGGCATTTCCCGGCGACGATAGAGTCTCCAAAGAGGATGAAGGTATTCACACGAATTTGGCCGAAGAAGAGGACGGAAGAGCAGTCGGCGATGTCATAAGAGTGCACTCAAACCTTTTATGTTTTCTCAACAAGTTGTAGAACAAGTGACACTTGTTCGGCGATTTTGAAATAAAGCACTTTTGGGGCGTTACCCTTCTTGTCAGTTTTGGCACGTCTTTAATTGATTCTGGCGATTTGATCCGGACTTGCTTCGATTCCACTTACTGTATCCTAGAAGTTCTCCAAAGGAAACCCCAAAGGTGCATTTTCCCCGGGTTGAGCTTCATATTGTATTCTCTCAAGATATGAAACGAGGTCGTCAAGTGTTTGACATGATTGACTCCCAATTTTGACTTGTCGAGCATATCATCGATGTATACTTCCATTGTTTTGTTAATGTATTCTTCTACATTTTTAAGACCAAGAGGCATAACATTATAATAGTATGCACGTGTCTCAATGACGAACGTTGTTTTCGATTAGTCATAAGGATGTAGAAGAATTTGATTATTGTCGTTGAATGCGCCCATAAACAATAGAACTTCGTATCTAGTAGTTGCGTCAGCTAAAGCATTAATGAGGCATAGGAAAAGAAACCTTTGGGCATGCTTTGTTTAGATCTATGAAATCAATACATATCCGCTGATGGAGTATATGGCCCAGGAACCCCCGGCCCATAGACTCCTACTTCTCCTACACAAGTCCATTGAGTCCAAAGAACATCTCAGGCCCAAATGCAACGGCCCAAACCTCAAAGAAACCCAGAATACGCACTGGGGTGCCTTCGGCCTCCTTGACCGAAGGCTCCAAAACTCACAGGATAGCCTTTTTTGGGCATACGAAGCTACTGGGAAAAAACGGCGGAAAACAGGAGCCTTCGGCATTGCCAAACCCTCGGCATCAGAGAAAGCCTTCGGTTGAACCAGGCCTCCGGTCACACAGAGCCTTCGGCCACGAAGGGGTCCTCTGTTACACGGAGCCCTCGGCTACACAAGGAACCTCCGGCCAAACACGCTCAATCATCAAAGATTCCCTTTGGAGCCAGCCAACCACCGCATTTAATGCGACGTCACATCCGCCAACCGCATTCAATGCGGTGAACATGCCACTGCCGGTACCACCTGATTGATGTGACCCTTCGGCCGTTGGATTACTGACACGTGTACTCTCATCGCATTTATTGCTGCTATAAATAGCAGTCCATTTCTCCTTGTAAACCATCCCAACTCTCACACGCTGAGTTCATTTAATAAAATTGACTCTCTCTCCTCCTATTTACTCTGACTTCTCTCTAAGTTATTCCCGCAATAACCCCCGGATAAGATACCCCCGGGTAGACTATCTATCATTTGGTGCTCTCGTTGAGAGGTTGAACAGAATCAAGTGAGAAAACCTCCCCAAAATACCAAAAATTTCATACCAGTCTTGAAAAAATTCAACCAAAAAAATTCATTCTGAAAAAAAAGGATGCTGGAAGCACCCAGATCCAGAGAGAATCGGAAGAAGCATCCATGGCCCAACCAGCCCGGCGGCGACGCTACACCAAGCCGGAGGTGGAGTGCGAGCTCCGGCCTGCCTCGAGCTTCACCACCCCAGCCACGACCTATTCATCAAGCCGGATCACCGACGGTCGTCCTAGCAGTGGACTCATCCACCTCATCGGTTGGTAGGCCTTTTCTCTGCTTCTGTCTTAGTTCCACCAAGAGCCTAGCAAGCTTCCGCCATTAATGGCCGTCCAGAGTTTGGCCCACAACTCGAGCAGTTGCAACATCGGAAGGTTCAACCGGTGGACACTCCTCCTGGCTGGTTGAGTTTTGGACCCTAACCTCTGTCAACGCAACCGGATTTTTCCGGCTGAGAGTCCTTGATGTCCGCCATTAGTGGTCAGTCAACCGCCCACTGGAGATAAGTTTTTCCGACCGCCCTTTCTCCGCTACAGCAAACATCCCCACCGTCACTAAGCGGCATGTACTGTTGCTGTGGGTTGGCGATGTGTTCTTTCATCTGCCTCTCCACAAGATGCTCCTCATTTGGTTCTAAGAAGACCACGTCCTCTAGATGGATTGAGGCCAAGTAAATGATGGCCAATTTCCTTGGAGAAGAATTGACCAAGTCAAAATTGGCAAGGGGAGACCACGCCTGATTCCACAGTTTCTGCTGGCGGAAGTTTTATCTCCAAAAAACTAAGTAGCTAAAACTCCATTCTCTTAATTATCTTCTGTCATTGCCCCTGATCTAGCCACTTTCATCCAAACCTCTTCCCACCAGTGGTGATGCAGAGATTGACGTCACACCAGATGCTAGGTCCCGCTGCAAATCAGCGACCCAGAGAGCCCAACGTGAGCTCCGTTACCTTCGAGCCCCGCTCTTGGTTGCTCGCAACTATTCTGCACCATCCACCATTAATGGCTACCTTGGAGCTTTGCTTATACTCAAGACCTCACTGTAGAAATGGCCGTCAGGATGTCCTTTCACCCTTCACTCCTCCGGCGGCAGCGGCAGAGCTATCTCTCAAACTTTGCCTATTGGCGATCTCGTTCGCAGAAGCCAGAAGGGTTTGGTCGGTTGGTGTATGGATTTTAGTTGACCCACTAAATTAATTCACATTTGTGATATGTGGCCTAGAAGGATCCATACATGGATGCACTTCACTCCTCTCATGGTGGTCGAGAAAATACATGGCAAATAACTGGCTTCGATAAAAAAAATTGTGGGCCAGCCGATAACATTTAGCCCAAAACTAATCTCAACAAAAATGGTGGGTCGTGGTTCTCACAACAGATTCAGCCCACTTTTAAAAGATAAGTACTCTTTAATTTTTATATTATTTATATTTATTTAAATCACTTTTTGTCGGGCGAATGTCGCACTATCACGCACTTATGATCAAATGCCTAGTAGAGTGTGGCTTGAGACCCATCACTAGGATTTAAAGCCTTGACCAAGATCAGGCACAAAGCCCCGACCAAGTCGGACATGAAGACAAAGCCCCGACCAAGTCGGGCACGAAGATCGGTCTTAGTCATTCCTCGAGTGGCGACCGTTGCTTAAGAATGACTCACACATCCATTCTACTAAGTATTTTATCATTACATTAACAATTCACATCTCCACTTGTTTCAAGTGACGAACTCCCGATCAGAAGCATAAATCCCAAGAAAAAAATTATATGTATGTTAAATGTGTAGGTACAAAGATGACTTTACTCATTTTCACCTCATCTCCACACTCCTCAAGGAGTGGGGGACTGGAGGACGGAGAGGTCAGAGTTTCTAGATGAGCAGAAAATATCACGCATGAGCAGGAACGAGAGCTGAGTCAGTTGAAGAGGAGCTGAGCTAGATTGATTATGCCGGAGGGGACTTACCTTCCTTGTTTCATGTTGGGGGCGCTAGGTGTACTCTTTTTCCCTTTATTAGGATTTTTTCCCATTGGGTTTTTTCCTAGTAAAGGTTTTTAACGAGGCACCTCCCCATCATTGACAAGGGTGGTGGTCCCCCGGCCAAAGAGGAAGAAACCGAAGACAGAAGAACATTGCAGATACAATTTGGACTACTCCCTTTCGCCTCGAGTACTCTCGACGCAGGAAGTGGGGGACTCCGGATGGAGTATATGGACTCCGACCCCCCGTTATGCCGACTACTGGGCCTGGACAGCGGCCCACACACGTTTGACGGATTCATATTATTGTACATTATTATTCAAATGTTCTAGATTAGCTTTTTATACTATCAGTCCATTTATGTAACCGGGTCTGTCAGGCCCGTATTAGAGGCCCAGACCCGGATTTTCCCTATATATACTCCTTATAAGAGGCTTGTAAACTGACAACTCGAGAACTCATAGTTAATACACAATACACATTTGCACCCCATGTTTTGGGTGATATTTGAGTTTGCACCCCATTTTTAAAATCATTAATGTATGCACCCCATTAGCCCAAAAATTGTGAAGGAGTGGGGTGCAAAGTCAAATGATTTTATAGTGAATTGGGGTGCATACATTAATGATTTTGAAAATAGGGTGCAAAGTCAAATATCACCCAAAACATGGGGTGCAAAGTCAAATTCTCCCTACACATTTTCTTCTTCTTCTCCATTACTCTTTTTTATTCTTGTTCAATCTCTCTTAGTTATTGGATATGGGTATCAATTATCCAACATCCGCCACTTTACCTTTTCCCTTTTTTCTTCTTCTTTCGGACAACAACCAAGTTAGCTAGCCACTCGGAGTACTTGACTTCATGGGTTTTACTGATCTTGAGAAGTTGGATAATCTCATCTCTTTCTAGGGCGAACTTCCTTCCCTTTTTTCAGACTTATTGGATGGATCAGCATTGAGTTTATGGGTTATTATTTTGGGATCGATCCAAGTTAGATCTTCGTGGTTCCATGTTTAGCCATCTTTTTAAGTCTTCTTCAACCATTCTCTCTTTTTCATCTTCTAAATTAATCCACATCGCCCTCTAATTGTTAATGTTTGCAAAGAAATCTTTAAATTTCTAAATCTTTCTATCGTACTTTCAATAATTCTAAAATCAATATATTATTGCAACTATAATTTTGGATTTATCCTACATTTCCATCATATTATTTCATTATCTTTCCATTTGTTGAGATATATTATCTCGGTCCGTTATTGTTCAGTAGCCCAAGACTGTACGTAGTACGGGACCCGATCAGTGAGGCCCGTTTTAGCTTAACAGTTCTATTTCGGCCTTTGGGCCCTTTCCGGCTCCCTTTCCCCTATAAATATGGGGTTTTCCCACATGTTTAGGTATCTTTTCCCTTCTTCCTCACTTCTCTTCCTCTCTAGAGTAGATTAGCTAATTTTATCCTCCATTAATGGAGCTTCAATACATGTACTTTGTAATGGTGAGGAAAGTCCTAATGAGAAAAAGAGGACTTAGACATTAGTCTAAAAGGTCACGTGATTTTCTCCTTTTCGGGTTTCCATGTAAAAAGAGCTTGTTCATACATATTTATACATATATTTACTATATCATGTTGGATTAAACACCAACATCATCATATACTCAATGATTCATATATTCTTTCACTGTTCTTAATCTACCTATTTTTAAAATAAAAAAGTTTTAAAGTTACGGAGGAAGTAAAAGTTACAATCGTACAAAATATGGTTGAAGTTGACTAAAATGAAATGAAATAATATGGTTCACAAATTTCTTACATTACACAAGAAACTTGGTAATTAAATCAATCCCCTACTCCAAGACCACAATTCACCACCCAATAAACTGGGTGGTTATATTAATCCCCTCCTCTAACTAGACCTGAATACACAAATGGTTGACTATAACAAATTCTATTCCGCACATGACAATAGAGACCATGAATTCCATGGCTTCCAACTACGGGAGATGCAGGCGAAGATCAATGGAAGTCTGTTCGGAACCTTCAAAAGATGTCTAAGCAAAGACATTGACATTTATCCATTGGGAAGTAGACTTGCACTCTTGACATTACATTACGATTATGAGATAGAGACAATCGAGTTGTCGCGTCAACGACAGACTGATTGGACAACCTCAATCTGCTTCCCGTCATCACTCAGTCGGCCGGATCCCATCAAACGATGCAAGTTTTATGATGATGTAGAACATAACCCGGAGGAATGTGTAACCTTGAGAATGGAGGTGGCTTATCTACTCGGAAACGACTACCTCACCAAAATTGTCGCAATGAACAAATCAAGTCCTTCTGATGGCACCAGTGGCGGAAGTTGAAGAGCTATGGATTCACGAAAACGATCATACGATTTTTGACAATATTTAACCCCTCAACATACTAGCAGACACAAAATAAAATTCTTTACAAGTACATACAGTTGTATTCGTTCAACATTTGTTAACCAGTAATCCAGTATCCTATACAATCGATACATAGTCTTTTCCGAAGAATAATTTACAAAGAGATTTAGAACAGATTCAAATATAAACTAAACTACTTAGCCGCATAACATAGCTTGCACTTCATTTAGATAGCCGCAATCGGTCACACCACCATGTGGTCACCGGCATTCACATGCCTTGTAATTGAAGTTGTTTCCGTTGGATGCCTGGAAAAAGTATACGTAGTATTCGATACCCAAGTGTCATAAGCATAGCCCTCAGAAGATGTTTTAAAAGTGAAGCAATAACTCGGTATAAATTTGAAAAAAAACACTTAAATGCACACAGAAATGGTAGAACAGGATGATTGAATTTGAATGCCCAGGGGAAGTAAAAAGAAGACATTTAAAATGCAACCAATTTGTTTGCCTCAGAGGTGACTATTCTTAAATTTCATCACTCATCTGATAATACGTGCAATTTAATATGCATCATAGGAAACAATGGTGATAAATTTAAAATAAAAATATCATTAATTTCACCCTTGGACCGCGTCTGGAAAAATTTTAAAATGGTTTCGATCCTCTGCTTTTTCACGAAATTGACAAAAACCCATCATATTAATAAAGACAAACAAATGAAACAGCTAATTTATAGATAAATGAACCATAAAACAATTAGCAAGATGCATCAGAGAGATTCCCATCGACAAATCATCATCCTCTTTAAGAGTGCTGATGTCCCTGTCTGTGTGTCATCACTTGCACCAATTTTATTATCACGGAATAACTAGCAAATGATATACGGAGTAAATTAAGTAAAAACCCTTTAAAATTATTAGTAAAAATGCCTTGGAAGCCTCAGGTTTATGTTATTTTCATTGTAAACATCTCAAAGTATATTTAATGCCATCACAGGCAACTCAAGGCACAACTCAGTTCATTAAAAACGGTCGTTGAAATCCAGTTCTATAGAAACGTCACGAATAAAATCAAAGATATGCTAATAAGAGGATTATGAAAGTAGATAGATTCAATTAAACATAACCTCCTATCAGTGTAACTATGACAAAACAAAGCATCATCGGAAAAGAAATCCGTAGCCATTAGGTAACATCATCATATAGGAAATCATGTCAAAAAAATGTAAACTTGAACTGATTTACATCGTATTTAGTCAAGCTAAGAATACATTTGGTATAGACCAAATATATATTCAAATCATAGGCTTGACCAATCACAATGTTGGCAACAGGGAAAAGAGGAGATCCACAGTAAAGTACATCGCCTCGGCAAAGTTGCTCAAATATACTTAAGATTACATGTATTTAAGATATTATATAGGATTAAATATCTTATTAACTATTCAATATGAAAGAGCATATCGCAACGAAACAAATGTTATTGCCTCAGAGGTAGTGACAATTCTTTTGGTGTCATCATCATATTATCTGATAATAAATACAATATGAAATGCATCATCGGCGATTGATAGTGATAAATTCTGCATTTTTAGAATAAGCTTAAGCCCACTAAATACATAGTGAAAGCTGGGAAACCAATTGGATTGAAAAAAGTCATGATGATTTATAATTTACCGTTTGTGTTGAAATCGGAAAACCCTTAAAAGCTACAACCACGTTGACAAATAGCATCAATGGCTGTTAAGCATCAAATAAATTTGGGGTTTTAATTTGAAAAATATATTAAGAGAAATATGCAGAAATTAACTATTAAACACAATATTTAAGAGAAAACACATTTTACGGGGAATCACAAGTATAGACGGGTCAGAATATCTGGCTTGGAATTCTCTTTAAGAGAAAACACAAAGTGCGCTCAGTTATTTCAACTTCGTTCAACTGGGGAAATAATCATCACGCCCGTCTCTATCAAATATGTCATTTGAAGACGGAAGTAAATTTAAAATCAACGTAAATTTACACTATGAAAAACAACAAAAGCAATAGAAGTAAGATAGAACAGGATTGGAGAATATTGCGTCGTCTCAAACTGCACGGCAACAAACAAATGATGCCATCGCAATGAGTTGAACGCCGGCTAAAACAATAAAAAACACGAGCACTCGGAATGAGTAGGAGGTTTTTATCATCACATATTCAGAATATGTTAATGTTCTTCATCGTGCTCGTCTTCAACCAACTGAATCCGAAATAGATCTTTTGAACAGAAAAAGCTATATAAAACGAAACTAAATAATAAAACATTCAATTTATATATACCGTCAGATAGATTGGATCACTGCATCACTGGATCAGACGACCGTCGTGAGAAAATTTATCCAAATTCATCACACGGCACCAGAAATTCAAACTACAACCTAAGATCTTCAACACCAAATTTACAGTACGCGGCCGTTGCTTTTACCTAGGGTTCCGAGCTCACACAAGCCAATCAGACGAGAGGAAGAAGAGGATATTCGGTGTGAAGGGTTGAGGGGACGAAGCAGAATTATATAGTGAAGTAAGATGAGTCAAGACCTAAAACAATAGTGACGGCTGGAATGTTAGGTTACATGGATGGATGGGCTGGTGCTTACTTATTGGGCACTAGATCGTGAAATGTGCATTTCAATTTATTGAGTTATGGCCCAATATGTTCTAGCATGTATGGGAAATGGGTCATCATATCCACAATTGCAAAATCAATCAATATCAATATATATATAAAAGAGGAACTTTTTAAAAGCTTACGGTGTGCCACATAATTCTGTCATGTCATCATATATAATAATTATTAATTACATTTTATGCTTTTTATTTTTTATTACATTCTATTTTTTATTGCATATTGATATGGAAACAAAATATTGTACGATTATATAGAATCCACCTTATTTATACTACGTAACTTTTTGAGAACCTCTACTTAATTACTCCGTATTAATTTGTATGACACGGATCAGCATCCTTTTTTTATTTGTAATAAAAAATAAAGTAGATTGAAAATTTATTTGTAAGAACTAAATTTTAGATGATGAAGTACGTCATTCATAAAATTTAGTTACAGTAGATTTAATTCATAATTTGTATTAATTTGCATGACACGGTTCAGCCATCCCTTTTTCATAATTTGGAAAATTCCGTCAATTTAGCCCAATCAGTTAGATTTAATTTATTACAGTAGAGTCAGACAATTCAACTCATTTTGGTATTATCAAACGGCTATGTTGAGGTTTATTCCTTCAACCCTTGGACCCAACACGTAAGCCCAAATATTTCGAATGGAGTAAATATAAGGATATCTAGCCTAACAACTATGAGATGGATCAGGAACAAAAGTGATAGCAGGCAATGTAAGTAGGTATTATTAACTTCGTAATAACTCCCCTAAATACAATCTACTTGCTAAAAAGGCACGTCGGCCGTTCGTCTCACAAGGCACTTAGAAATGCTGCAAGTAAGGATACTGAAGCTACTATGCTAAGAATAGAAAGTTGCCAACCCTTTACAATGAAATAAATGCTACTATTTATACCCGCCAATGGGCAGTTAGTCCTGATGATGTGGAGGATTGTTAGTGGCTATGGCCCAACCACCAAATCTCCAGCATTAAATGCGCTTCCCGCCAGAATCTGAGTTCCCCGCCTAATTGATGACCACGATCGTCGGGTAGAACCGGGGGCCGTTCGTCCGCGGCCCTTCCTGGGAACGTAACAATCTTTTGGGCCTGGGCCATCTACGGAGATGGGCCTCGGCTGACGACGTTCGTCACGGATGTGCTAACCGACCCTCGGCCGGGACCTTGAGCTGTTATCCCGGAGATAGACATTCGTCCTCATTCCTTCAGGCCAGGGCCATCCGTGGGCTGGGCGACGTACGTCGGTTTGGGGGTAATTGGGCCGGATCCCTGCTCGGGGCCATTTACCCAACACAAGTCCCCCACTTCTGATGTTCCAAGCGTGCGTGGGACATAAGGAAGTATGCTGTGCCTCCTGGAGGATGTCCGTCTTCCGTACTTGCCTACGGGGTACTGGACGTACCTGACCGAAGGGTTCCCCGAGTTGGGCGACTGCGGGTGAATCGAGGTGGCGGCTGGCGGCGAAACGTTGCGACTCCCGATGGGAAGCTATCATTACGCGTATCGATTCCCCAGGTTGGATTCCCGCCAGGGTACGCTCCTCGCCACGTGTCGCTTCTTCATTCGTCCCTCCGGGGGTGCCTCCACTATAAATACCAGGAATCCCCTGATGTCTAGGGTTTCCGATTTCTGGCTTTTGCTTTCGAGTTCTCTTGCCGCTCTTCAGGTTTTTCATCACAGCTTCCCGAGTCCATCTTCAAGTTTCTTTAAAAGGTAATTATTCCTCTTCATCCTTGCCCTTCCTTTTAGTGATGACTTCGATGGAGATCTCTTCAAGTTCGAGTTCTGGTTCTTCGGGCTCCGGCTCTGATTCTTCCTCCAATTCTGGCTCCCGTTCCTCCGGAAAAACCAGTATTTCCGGCAACCCCGGTTCGGCGTCCACCGTAGGGACCATCCATGTCGATGGTGAGCAAGGTGCCGATATTTCCGAAGGTGCCATTGAGGCAGTGCCTCTGAACGAACGTGCGGCCGGGTATGACTCCGCAGATGAGGCTCAATCCGGCTCTGATCTGGAGGTGCACGATTTGGGTATCCCCATGGACGTGCAGAGGCACATCTGCAAGATTAAGAGTGTCTTAGAGCACAGGCAATCCCTCTCAAGTGTCGCCATGAACAAGATTGCTTCCTTCTTCCCCCATCCGTTCGTCTTTAGCCATAGCGGGGCTGATCATGCCATGCGGAGACGGCCGGGGATGCTCATCCTGCATGTGGACTCCGTAGAGGCCGGTCTGCGGTTTCCCCTCCACCCCTTTTACGTGGAGTTCTTCAACTGCTACCAGGCGGTCCCGGCGCAGTTCATGCCCAACTCTTATAGGTTTATCTCCGCATTCCTCGTGCGCTGCTCGTCCGCGGAAGCCGATATATCCCTGGATCTGTTTCACTATTTTTACCGGGTCACCCCGCAGAATTCCGACGGTTATCTGAGTGTGGCCGCTCGTCCGAAGAGGAAGCTATTCGAGCACTATCCTTCCTCCATCCATGATTGGAAAAATAGGCTCTTCTTCCTTAGATATGATGGTCCTCCCCTCCCAATCCGCTGGAACGGTTACCCCCCGAAGATCGAGTCGCCGGTGCTGACGGACGAGCTGGAGGCAGAAGTTAACAAAGTTCTGGAAGGCGGCATTCGCCCCATAGGAGAATACCTGACCCCCGAGGCACTCTCTGAAGCAGGCATAGGTACCGCCCGTGTTCCTGGATTCCTTCCCCCCTTGGACGCTCGTCTCGGGGCACGGGCGGTCCTGTCCTCTGAGGTGGGTGTTCCTCCCTATCCCTGTTCGTCTTTTCACATTCTTGTATTTCTCTCTTGCAGGTCTTCCTCTTACCGCCGATCAAATGGACAACGCCGAGTGCCTGAGGAACAGGAAAGCGAAGATGGCTGCGGCCAAAGCGGCCAGGGAGGCCGCCGCCCATGGTGCCGGATCGTCCGCCTCTGAGGCCGCCCGACGGACTGCCGATGGTGAGCAGCATCTGATTGCCACCCTCCTGAATGAGGGGGCCATACCCCACCATGCTGAGTCTGCTCTCCCCCCGCCGATCGTTACAACGAAGGTGGTCCCCAAGAAGGGGGTCGAGAGGGCCCCGGAGAAGAAGCCAAAGAGGGGGCGAGACTGTTCTTCCTCCGGCCCGGTTGTTGAAGATGCCAACGGTCTCTCCCTGAGCCGGCCGGCGGAGGAGCTTTGGAGGGAGCTTGGGGCCAAGGCCGGCCTCGAACTGGCCCCCCCGGTCGTCTTCTGAAGCGACCAGCGCCGCTCTGGCAGCGGCCATCCAGGTATTGTCGCGGTTTGACTCATTGTCTCTCTGATGCCCGTCGTTATGTCATCTAATTTCTGTTCATTCCATTCCTTACAGTCAGGGCTGTTGGTGCTGCAAGCCGAGGCTGCCAGGGAGGCCGCCCTGCAAGAGGTGAAGAGCAAGGCCGATGCCGCCATTTCGAAGGCTCGGGAGGTCGCCCGTCGGGCGGAAGAAGAGGCTGCCTCGGCCAGGGAGGAGCTTCGGTCCGTTCAGGCTGAAACTGGCGCCCAACTGGCCTGCTTGGAGAAGGCCGGCTTCAAGCTTATGCCGGTGCTCCCGGCCCCCAAGGGTGCCATCCCGGAATGGTGCGTTGATACCTCCGGCTACCGGAATACTGGCGAGTTCATGGACTCGGCCAAGGATTTCTGCGCTGGGGCCTTTGGAGACGTGTTCTCTCATGCCCTGGAGAAGGTCCCGGCGAAGGATCGTCTGAAATACGGCGTGCGGCTAATGGGAAGCTCTCCCTTAGCGCGCCAATTCCTTTATGATTCTGCTGATAGCGCCTTCGCCGGTGGCTACAGCGAAGGGGTCAAAGCCTTTCTCCCCATCTTTGAGAAGCTTCTGGGCCCTGACGTCAACCCGGCCGATCATACGGAAGAGGACCTGCTGATTGAAGCCCTGGGGAAAATAAAGCGGGATAGGCGCCGAGCGGCGGCCATAGCTATGGGGGATATCCCGGAACCCCCAACCCCTGAGCCCGAGCCTCAAGTGGAAGAGCACACTCATGCCGGGAGCCGGCCGTCGTCCCCCTATATGTGCTGATTTATATTTTAGTCCCGCCTTCCTTCCGATTGTAGCATATAGACTTGTACTTTCCAGCCGATAGTGCTGAAGAATAAAAATCCATATTTTGCCAAAGTTCGTCCTTATGCTGTGTTGCTGTATTCGTACCTTATCCTTCCAATGTACTCCCGCCGTACGTAGCCAGCTAACGCGTAGCGTACTCGTAGTTTTTGCCGCCGGGCGTCGTCATCTCCTGGCTTAGACGCCCGTTGCCTAGCCAGGCCTCTCGCACCTTGGGCGCCCGGCCCTTTCGGCCGTAGGCTTTTGAGCCAATCCTGCCCTCGCCACCTTAGATAGCCGATTCATAAGACTAACAAGGCGTCGCTATTTGTACGAGTTGCCTTGAAGGACTGCGGCGCTGTGCCTGACGATGTTCGTCTGGTGTTGACCTCCCAGTTCTATGGTCGACGTTCGTCGTCAGACCCGAATTCTAAGATCCGTCGGCGGCCCCTTGGCTTTCCCCAAATCGCGGGGCTCGAGGTGCCTTCCAGAGTTATTGCTATGCCGGTGTTATCTGGACACGTGCCAGCCTGCGGTTGGTGTCAATCTGCGGCATTCCGCTTATAAGTGCCCAAATACCACGAGATCAGTCATCGTTGATTCATTTAGTCCATACGCTGCGGAAATATATTCTCTCTCTAGCAACTTCTACGAGCCGGATTTATCCCCAGTGCCCAAGCAAAAAGGTACCGTTCGTTGCCATGTCCTCCGAAAATCGCCTCGACGATGGTTGTTCTTCTGGTGACGACTTGGAATATTATGAGCGGGGAATGCCGCCCTGGCCCCCCCGTTATAGCCTCAGCTTTTCGTACGTTCGGCGTCAAGTCCAACGCCTG